TAACAACATTCCACATTTACACCATCCATCTTGCCTCATTCACAACCTAGATCCATTCATCACACAGTGTTTAGTTAAAGTTAGAGTTAGCCTTGTGTTAAATTGTTTAGAAATAAATCTTCTTAAACTTTTAAACTTCTTTCTCTCTCTCTCTCTCTTTTTGACTCTGGGTTATTATGAAGTGTTAGCTAATCCCTGCAATAAAAAGTTCAGATCTTCTGATTAAAGGTAGTATTCAAAGATACATCAAGTTGATTCCATATTTTGATTCCATTTTCTCACCTTTGATGGTTTCCTACGTAAGATGTAACTATCGATACACTACAACCGACTGGCAAAAAACATCAGGGTTGTTTAAAGATCTGAAGCGAGACCCGGAGGTTGTTCCTTGTACCCCTAAGAAGCCACGTCATCTTTTTGTTTTATTTCAATATCAGGTGAAGAAGCCTAAAGGCTAATGTTGAGCTAACAATGCTAATGCTGAATCAGAAGCAAATGATCGACTCTAAAAATATCTCAAGCTACTTTTCAGTTACCAAAAACTCGATATTACAGCGAACTGTATGATTGAAGTGAATGAGTTGTTTTACCTCCTTTAAAGGTGTGAAACACTGAAAAAAAATTTTAAGTTTTATTTCTGATTATAACTGGTCATTCTGACAGTGAAACTCTAGGATTTGAGAAGCCTGACAGATCTACGTCACACTCTCACTCAACATTCATGGACTCACCCATCTTGATTGGTGACAGCGGAAAGGCTGTTGTTGATTTATTGTTCAGGAAACAGCAGAGGACATCTTGGCTTGTAGAAGCTAAACGTAAGCATTAACAACCCCACCACACAGCAGAACTCCTCCAGGCTTGTGGAGATAAAACATCAAGGTTACAAAGCAAACCTTCAGTGGTAGAATTGTGTTGCTGTTAGCCAATTAGAGATGATATGTCTGAATATCAGGAAGTAAGATTCCAACTCCTGTCATCTGACGCTGAACTCTTATGTGGCTCACTTTTAGTTCCTAAAACGAATGCACCGGAGCTTTGTTTCTCCAGAGTACGAATTACAAGGCATTCACTTCTACCAAAGAACACTGCAAATGTACTGATTAAATGAGTCATTCAGAACTATAACATCAAGCTAACAGTAAGACAGCAAACAACCTTCTAATACTGGAGGTATATTACCAAAAAAAAGTGTGGAAAATGCTCCCGGCTGTAGGTGGGAGATTGTGGGTTCAAATCCTGGTCGAGTCATACCAAAGACTTTTTAAATCAGACCTAATGACCTCCTTTGACACTCGGCATTAAGGGGTTCGACTGGGGGACTAAACCACTAAATGGTTCCCGAGCATGACCACGTCTGCAGTTCGCTGCTACCCCCAGAGTATGGGTGTAATATGGAGAACAAATTTCACCACACACCAGTGTGTGTGTGACCACTAATGGGACGTTAGAACAGGAGACTACTAACTCCAGTTATAACAATGTCCTTATCTACTTTATCAACTTCTTTGTATGACTTGTCTTTGCTATGCAGTGTTTCATTTATTTTGGCATTATTATTATTATCAACAACAACTACAGCAATGGAATGTGTTTGTAATAAATTATTATTAATAAAAATTTGTAGGTATGTCTAAATTCCACAAGATGTACTTTATAAAAACTATCTCTATTTTTATTTCAGTCTCTAAAACTCAACTAATCTAGGCTCTTTTGACACATTTTCTTAACCTATTTGTCTGCATCTGTATTTTGACTGCTGCTAGAAATCGTCGCTCGTCGCTCGTCTTCTATCTCGGCAGAGACCTGAGCTGTTTCAGTGAATTTTCCTTTTGAATGTATCTAAAATGTTCATCTGCCACCACCCCTGGATCTCACTGAATCATCTGCAAACCACATTAGGTCAAGAGGGACTGAATTTTCCTCTGAAAGTGGATGATATTGTCTTTGTATTATTTTTCAACATTAGCCGTGTGGATTCATTTATCTGAGGAGAAAAGTCTGTGTAGTTCCTTTTATAAGTTGTTCTTGGGAAACTTTCTGATTTCTAAAGGGCTGAATGGTTGACAGAATATCAACAAGTTGGGACGTATAAACAAAAATAGGTCAAACTATGCAGGAGTGCCAGAGTTTCTTTAATTCAGCAAATAATCTACAGTGTGACTGATGTGATGGAGGAATCGATGCATGTTGCACCCTTTGCTAAGAAGCAGTCCATTGTTTTTAGGAGATCAATGATAATAAATAGATGCCTGTTTGGTTGCCAAGAAAATCCTTTTGAGTTGGATTTGTTTTCTTGTGCTTGGCAACCTTAATGACAATAACACCAAGAAAGTTTTTTTGGTGAAAACTCTATGATGTTGGAGCAGATTCGAAAGGCCAACCCAAAAAAAGAGACAATCTTGTTCTTCTGTAATAAACATATTTATGTTTTTAGAAAATATGGAGAACCGGTTTTTTATATCAAACATCTTAAGACTTGAGAGGATTAAGACTGCACTTTCAATGTTTTTTTGAGTCTTTTATAAATTCTGATGGTTTTTTAGCAAAAATAATAAAAATTAAGTTTATTTTCTATCTCAATTCAAAGTAGCAGTTTCCTTAAAGGGGAACTAGGCAGTTTTAGCTTGCTTTTAGCACCCCCTAGTTTTCATTTGTAGAACCAAAAGCTAAATCTTCTCGCTGTTTGTTCATCTTTTTAACACCTTAATCTAACAGCTGAAACGTCTCCCCAGCGTTCCACAGTGCCAACAGGAGTGATTCATCCATAAATTTATCAAATCAGCTGTGTTCATATTTAAAACATCAAGCGCCAGGTGTGTCAGCTCACTTTCCAACAGAGCGGTCAAACAGAGGGGCACAACAGACCGGACCAACAGAGGGGTCCAGCGGAGGGGTCCAGCGGAGGGGTCCAACGGAGGGGTCCAGCAGAGGGGTCCAGCAGAGGGGTCCAACGGAGGGGTCCAGCGGAGGGGTCCAGCAGAGCGGTCCAACAGAGAAGCCCACCAGTCTGAAGTTGCAAATGGAACATTCTGGCCACATGGGGCAATAGGAAGCTCGGTGGTCTTTTGTTAACCCTGTAAAGCACATATGTCAGAGTCAAGGCCCGCGGGCCAGATGCGGCCCGCGGAGCATTTTTATGTGGCCAGCGAGATAAATATCAAAAATATATTAAAACTGGCCCGCTGGCCGATTTTACCGCAAAGACTTCAACTCCCATGATGCTTTGCGGCGTCAGCGCGGAGCCAACGAAGCCCCCTCCGTTGTGTTTTTTCAGCGCCTGCTGCCGGTCTCTGCAGCTCCGCTGTCTCGGACAAACTACACTCCTCTCACTCAGCGCCGAGTTCACTCAGCTGTTTTCTGATGTTGAAGCCCAGAAACGGAGATTCTAGCCGCTCAGTAATGTGTTCACGACTGAAAGAGAAAGTTTTCCAACTAACGTCCAGACAGAGCTGATATAACTCCAGCGAGCAGCGACACGCTCAAACCAGCACGACTCTGTGGCTGCTGTCGTGTTTCCTCCCCGACACACAACAACGTGGTCAAGCTGCTCAGACATGTTCATCAGCACAAACCTATGTGAGCACCTGTTGTCATCTAATGTTGTCATTATTATGATGAAGATGAACAAAACAACAGGAGTCTCCTCCTCAGCTCAGATCAACCCCATGATGCAGGTATCTGGCTGGAACAGGTGAGCATCACAGTAAACCAGTGGAGCAAACTGAGCTTTAAATATGTTGGTTTGATGCTCTTTTTCTGCTCCAAAACATGAAAGTTAACAGGTGAGATGTTGCATTTTCATTTAACCTACAGTAAACAGGAAGTGGAAAGGCTGCAGATAGATGAATAGAATAGAAAATCCCTTTATTGTTCCTCAGTGGGGAAAGCTAGATGTCACAGCAGCGATGACACGTATTACAGGAGAAAAAAAGGAGAATAAAAAATAAGAAAAATTAATTAACAAGAAAACATAAATCCTGAATAGATTTTAAAAATGCTGATTAAACCACAAGTAATGAATACCACTGATGCCTTTTATTTAAAACTGACTTGCTCGTGTGTGATTTGGTTATTCCACATTCAGTGTTAATGCAGAAATACGTTTGTTTCCAAATTTAAAGGTTCAAAATTGCATTTATGTTGATAAAGAAAATGTGCAAATTTGCCGACACTTTTTCAAAAATATTAAGTTTGGCCCTCAACTCCGTCCCAGAGTTTCATTTCGGCCCCTTGTGAGTTTGAGTTTGACACCCCTGCTGTAAAGGGTCATTTTAGCGCATACTGGCTCAAGAAAATTATTAAAAATATGAAAAAGTTGCAGAGTATCCGTTTAAGTATTGGTGGGAGATGTAAACTTTTAAACAACTTTAATGATTAGAAAACTCTTTTTAAGGTCCAAGAAATATGTCCTTGTCTTATTTCAGCCTCCTGAGGTGGTTTTGGTGCAGCGGTGTGCTCGTTAAGCCTGATTTGCATACCCTTATCCCACCAGTGGTGATGAGATGTTCTGTGACTTCATCTCCAACACCGATGTGGGGATGAACCTGAGGTGGTGTTAATTAGACGTTTCTGAGAGGGGAAACTCAAAACAAAAACAGAAGGAACTCACAATCTGATCATTACTTCACATCCCGGTCTTTTATTAAAATTGTAATGCAAGCATGTTGTTTTCCGTAATTTGTGAAGTATACCCCTTTACATTAGCATTTACTGGAATGGGCTGTTGGATGTATGCAAATATTTTCTCAGTACAAAGCTAAAAATGTGAATATACAATTGCAACATTCTCTGACATAAAAGTTGCCCACACCACAGTTTAGCTTCAGATGGAAGGTTTGGGAGCCTTATTTCCTGATATTTGGACATCTCTCCTCGGATTGGATAACAGCAACATGACTCTACCACTGACTTACAATGAGGAAGTTTTATCCCCACAGATAGCGCAAGCCTGGAGGAGTTTCTGCTGTGAGGTGCATTTACTAATGCTAACAATTAGCTTAAAATAGCGGAGATCTTCTCTGCTGATTCGTGGATGTTAAAATGTGACAACACGAGAGGGACCTCTAGGAAAAATTAAAATCTACAGTGCCAAAGTTTAAGACTGGTTCACAGATAAAACTAGTAAAAAGATACAAAGGTTAAAATATTACTATCAAAAAGGTTCTAAAACAAGGCAGGCAGTGCAACCACAAACGCAAATTAAAAAGGAATTTGTTCCGAAAGCTTGCGGATGATGATGCCCAAAATGAACTCCTAAATAAGTCTGTGCTGGGCCTCAGGGGACAAAGCAGTCCAGTCCGGCCCTGCGTGAGCTAGACAGGGAAGCCTTTACGACCCCGCCCTCCTGCGGTGCGCGTCGTCCTCGGGGAACCACGGGATCACCGCACGGTGGATCCAATCCTCCTCCTCCTCGGCCCGGCCCCTGTGGGCACACAAAAACTCCGGCAGTAAAAAGGTCCCCGGCACCAGACCACGCACAGAGAGACACCAAACTCCAAACACTGCCAGGCACTGCTCAATTACTTACGTGCGGGGGAAGAGTAACTCTGCCCGCCTGCCGTGTTGCGCTCCGTGCCCTGGCTTCTCCGGCCGCGGATCTCGCTCTCCGCTGCTGCTGCTGGTGAACCCCCTCCTCTGTCCAAGACTCCGACCGGACTCAGTGGCACCTGTACGCGCGCCGCACATGTGTGGAGAGAGGGACACCCACGCTCCTCCGCACTCGGCCGCCATCCATCCTCCAAGACCGTACTCCGGGTGCTCCTCTGTTCCGGCGGGGGGGTCAGGCACATGTGTCCTCAAGACACTGTCCGGGGGGCGTCTCTGCCTCTTAGCTGGCTCTGTCTGCCATCCTGGCTGTCTCTCTGGTCCACGCGTTCCTCCCTTTAAATAAAACCTGTCCTGCCTGCGTCTGTTCATTAATTGGCAGTCCAGTCAACACTCTGCCCCAGGTGAAGATGATTGGGGTGATTAACACAGAATGAAACACAATGTTGCACCAAACAAACTAAAAACACGCCATCAATAGAAACATGCACATCAGAATAAAAACAAGTAAAACATGCAATATAGAATATAACATAAGTGCAATGTTACCACTCTGTGACAAAAACAACAGTCTTCCCTGTTGGTGAGTCTGTGAATGTTAGGTGACAGTGTAACGTAGATCTGTCAGGCTTTTCTAATCCTAGAGTTTCACCGTCTATTTTTCATCAAAGTTAACGCAGAAGATAAGTGTAGGAGACTATTTTCATGTTCGGCCTGCATGAAAACGTCAGAGTGACTGATGGATTCATTATAATTAAAAAAACATTTAAAAAATATCTTTCTCAGTGAACTACACCTTTAAATTGCATCCTAAAATCGTCAAAACTGATTTTGTAAGCCCGTTTTTGTGTTTACTAAAGCAGTCATGTAAAGCGGCCATCTTGAATCAGGTTGAATTTAAAAGTTAATCAGCTGTAAGATAATCATCCACACAGAGACATGTGGAAAACAAATAACAAAAATGGTGGAGTCTATTGTTGTCAATGTAAATGGGTTATTGTCTGTTATCTATTCATGGATGGATAAAGCCCTCTAATGTGTCGGGTTCCATGTCCTTCATGTCCACAGAGGATTAAATGTCAGAGTTTTGTCACTGGTTTCAGTTTCCTCATTTGCATGTTTGGGTTATGCACTCTAGATTACTGAGGGACCAGAAATTCTCCTTAAAGGTCAGCATCTGATAGCCTGGGCTGGGTTTATATGAGTCGGTTCCACTGGGGGGTAGAAACAACTAAAATGAGTGAAATATTAAAGCCACATAATGGCAGGTTATGTATTTTGTTGCATTTGCAGCACCTTTTTTCTGCAATATAGTTTGAGCAATTCAATAAAAGCATTTCTGATGGAAATTGTTTGCTTCCTTCTCTCACACATTGCAAAACTCTTCCCACTCACGTGCAAATCCAAAGACCATGCAGTTAAATGTTTGCAGAACAAGTCCCAGATGTCTTGATTTTAATGATTCACAATACTTGTCACGCTCTGCAAATTTCCCACCCTCAGCTCAATTGTTATTCTACTCCTGCAACTTTTCTTCTCATTAGTTTTAAACGACTTTTCCTTGAGCTTTTTCTGACCCTCAAATCAACCATCATCATCGTACATCTCCATCACCTTTGTTCCCAGGAAAACCTGATGGTGCCATCATCCTCTTAAATAACTGATGTTTTAAGAATGTCTAATTTGACATGTGTTAATGCCTTGTTTGTGCTAATTTGATCTGGTTTGGCATTTCTCATTTAAATGTGTGTAAGAGAAGGTTAGTGACAATTATCTGCATAGTGAAATTTGAGTTAATGAGCTTTTTTGATTTTTGGTTTTCCTAGAGCAGTTGTTCTGAGTCCTGGTCCCGGAGAATCGGTATCCAGCATGTTTTCGTTTTAACCCCGTTTCAACATACCCAATTCAATAAGCTGGTGATTATCAGGCTTCTGCAGAGCCTGATGAGCTGCTGCACAGATGATTCAGCCACTGAGTTAAGTGTGTTGAAGCTGAGAAACCACTAAAACGTGCCAGATGCGTCCCTCCAGGGCCAGGGCTGAGAGCCTGGAGGGTTCATGTATTTTGTCTGGAACTTCCACTTTATTTCCGTTTTTATTCCCAAATATTTTGTGGTGTTTTTGTGGAGAAATTCTCTATAGACAAGCATCTATTTTATTAAATATTAATTAACAATAGCAGTCATTTGCAGGATACTGACAGAATGTCTGCTGTGAAGCGGTGCGTGTGCCCCGGACGCGATTACACTCACTTGAAAAAGCTCACTGGCAAAGAGAATCAATAATGAATGAATCTAAAATGACCTTGTTGCCTCCTGGCAGGACCGACACCCCGGCTGACATCACCCTGCTTTGTTTGAAGTTCTCCTGCCTGCTGTGAAAATAACCGTCTGTGAGCCGCTCGCAGCCGCGTCGCCGGCTCCGGCTGGCTGCTTTCAATGAGTTAAACAAATTTATGGCATAATCTCCACATTCAGTTCAATGATTTCATGTTCAGACAGGACAGTCACTGCAAAGTTTACAACCGAGATCAGATAACCGTTTATTGATTCATAAAGAAAAAGGGTTCAGATTTGCAGCAACGTTGGATGCTGTAGCGGGAGCTCCAAGTAGAGCAGTTCCCCTAAAGGTTGTGAGCTACTTTGTTTTACATCAGATTCAGAGCAGGAGAAGGTTTTTCCTTTTACTTAAAGTCAAAATGTTATTGGTTGTGTTTTCCTTCATTTGGTCACTCACTGAGAAAATTATAGTCAAGCAGATGCGTATTTGGTCAGATTAGGTGTTGTGAAATGTATCGGCTGCATTTGACCTGCGGGAGCGGTGAACTGCAGACACAGCTGTGCTTGGGAACTATTTGGTGGTTTAACCCCCCAATCAAACTTCTTAATACTGATTGTCAAGCAGGGATGCATTGGTTCCCACTTTGAAATTACTTGGTATGACCCGACCGTGGGTTTGAAATCTCTGGGTCTCAGGGGGACACTCGCACCAATAGGCCAGTGAGCTGGTTTCGTTTTTTGGTCAGAGGAAACATGAGTCAACCGGAAGGGGAGAAGAAGAAGAAGAAAGTATCATTTCTATAGCGCCTCCCAAGATAAAAATCGCGAGGCGCTTCACAAAAACAAAAAATGTAAAATAAAAAAGAATTTAGAAAATGGTTACATATATTTTTAAAATGAGCAAAAATTATAAAATTGTGATTAAAAAAATGTTAAGAAAGAGAGAGCGTGAATAGGAAAGAGGGGAATCAGTGGATCCTGAGGAAGGTGGAATAGGTGGGGAGAGCAGAATAAAGAGAGAGAGGTGAAGAAGGTCATACAAAAGCCAGCTTGAGCAAGTGAGTCTTCAGCTGATTTTTAAAGGAGACCACTGAGTCCACTGATCTCAGGCTCAGGGGGAGAGAGGTCCAGAGTCTGGGGGCCACAGCAGCAGATGATCTGTCACCTTTGGACTTTAGCCTGGTGCTGCACAACCAGTAGGCTTTGATCACTGGACCTCAGGGACCTGCTGGGGGTGTAGGGACTAAGAAGATCACCAATGTAAGATGGTGCTTGTCCATGTAAGGCCCTATAGACCAGAACCAGGATCTTGAAATGAACCCTGGAGTTGACTGGCAGCCAGTGAAGCTGGAGGAGAAGCGGGGTGATGTGGGTGTGTTTGGAGGACTTGGTCAGAAGCCGAGCACAGGCGTTCTGAACCACCTGTAGACGGTTCAGGGAGGCTCTGCTCAGACACGTGAAAAGAGAGTTACAGTAGTCTAAGCGTGAGGAGATGAAGGTGTGGAGAACTGTCTCAAGTTCAGAGCGGGACAGAATGGGACTCAGCTTAGCAACGTTCCTGAGATGGAAGAAGGAAGAGCGAACAAGAGAACTGACATGAGAATCCAGGGTGAGAGCTGGGTCAAAGGTCACACCAAGATTCCTGATGGAAGGTTTGGTGTGAGAAGCAAGCTGACCAAGAGAGTCTCTGACTTTGGGAACCAGCTTGTCTGGGGCACAGATGAGGATCTCAGTCTTATCTTCATTCAGCTGAAGAAAGCTCCCACCATCCAGGTTTTGATAGAGTCTAAGCAGGTGTGTAACAGCTGCAGCTTAGACATCTCACGGAGCTTAAAGGAGATGTACAGTTGGATGTCATCTGCATAAAGATGATAGGAGATTCCTTTGAAAGAGCTCAGGATGTGCTGAAGAGGGAGCAGATAGAGGAGGAAGAGCAGAGGCCCTAGCACAGAACCTTGTGGGACACCATGGGTAAGAGAGGTGGTGGAGGACCTAAACTTGGAGACGGCCACAGAAAAGGAGCGCTCAGAGAGATAAGAGGAGAACCACTCCAGAGCAGATCCTGATAGGCCTACCCAGTCTCTCAGCCTCTCCAGTAGCAGGTGATGGTCAACAGTGTCAAAGGCTGCAGTTAGGTCCAGCAGGACCAGAACAGAACAGTCCCCTGCATCTCTGTGAGTCAGAAGGTCATTAGAGACCCTAAGAAGAGCTGTTTCAGTAGAATGAGCTCTACTAAAACCTGACTGGATGCTATCATAGATGTTCTGTTCATCAAGAGCAGCTGTGAGTTGTTTAGCCACAACCTTTTCCAAGATCTTGGAGATGAATGGAAGTTTAGATATGGGTCTGAAGCTGCTATGGAGAGAAGGGTCGAGACTCGGTTTTTTAAGAAGCGGGTGGATTACAGCATTCTTAAAGTAAGCAGGGACCTGACCAGAAACCAGAGAAGCATTAATTATAGAGAGCACGCTGGGACCGATGGACTGAAAAGCACTTTTAAACAAAGATGAGGGTAAGATGTGGAGGGGACATGCAGAGGTCTTCATAGAGTTAACTAGTTTGGTTAACTCAGGCAAAGAAACAGGAGCAAAGCTCTCTAGGATGATGGGCCTGGTTGGAGTCGGGAGAGGCAGCAATACGGCTGAAGGAGAGATGCTAGATCTAACCTTATTGACTTTGTCCACAAAGAAAGACAGAAAGTTCTCACAGTCTGCAACAGAGTGGATGGAGGCTGTAGGAGATGCAGGACAAATGATGATGCTGATGGTGTTAAACAGCACCTTGGGGTTCCCTT